TGATCCAATGAAAAAGTGAGATTGACACGTCTGTAACTGATTGTTATTTTGATGCTGTCTTATCCCAAAGCTTTTTTTCAGAGAGAATGCTTCGCCCATGTGCAGTAACTTAAAACACTGTTGACCTGCAGAGAGAAATAATGACATTGGAAAGCGGCTGTTATTAGCTGTTAAGCTGGCCCTCGTAAAGTGGCGACATTCGCTGGAAGGCACAGAGCAACCGGTTATTATGTGGCGCAATCACAAGAACCTCTCCACCCTGCAATCTGCTAAATGCCTTGCAACAGTCACACAGGTCTCTATTTTTTTTTTTTTTTCATTTTAATTTCACCATCACTTAGAATCCTGGATTCATTAATAAAAGGCTTGAGACCCAAAACAGTTCTCCTCAGATGAAACCCATTAGACCCGATCCCATTCTTCCTTGTTCCTGCACCTTTTTTGTCTGTCAATGTGCTCCATCCAGAAATCCTCAAATGGAAAAGATTTATTTTCACTTGGTTTAATTTAGCAAAGATCTTTTTTAAGGAACCTTTTCCATTCCGATTGTTAATTGATTAATCAAGAGAAATAAGCGACAGATTTATTTGCAAAACAGTCATTAGTTGCAGCCCTAATGGTAACCATTTCTAATAAAGATGTGCAGGACGATAAATCAGCTGGTGCCAGAAGTCAAAGCTTCAACATCTCTCCACTCCAAGCTACCCATGATCACATCTTGACATTGGGTTTCATAAAAGTCTACTACTTTCTGTTAGCAAATCAGTTTCTCTGGACATCACAGCTGCATTTTTGCAGAGCTTGTCATGTAGTTGCCTTTTTCAAATTTTAATTCAAACTTCATGCAAAATTTGTCATTTTTTCACAATAATATCTAAGATCTTTCAATAGCAGTACTTTTATTCTTCCTATTTGTTTTAAGAAAATAACAAATTTACACATTTTCTAATCATAGTTTTTCTATATTATCTTTCAATGTTTTGTATTTACTTTATTATCCTCATTGATATGGTGATATTAATATTAATCAAAAATAATTGGTAACATATTTTGTTTACATTGTGCAGCCCTATTATCAATCAATCGTTTCATCTATGCATCCATCCATCCATCCATCCATCCATCCATCCATCCATCCATCCATCCTGCATCCATCCTTTCAGCATGCATCCATCCATCCATCCATCCATCCATCCATCCATCCATCCATC